CTTTCTTGAGCCAGTTTCCTTGAAGTTACCATCCTCCTGTGGATGGAGAGGTGCCTCACTCCCTCCTTCCTGGTCCTCACTGGGCTCCGGCCCTGTGTGATTCCCCTCCTCACTTCCCCCCAGGAAGGCTGAATGTTCCCTGTTTCATTTTTGCTCCTCTGAACCTTTGCATGTCATTCATGTTATTCTTTCCCAAGAGCCTCCACTTTCCAGCCTCCGTTCTGGGAGGGCCGGGCTGGCCTCCGCCTCTTCTGGTAAGGATGACTCAGTCCCCAAAGGCAAGCCCAGACTCCGCAGGCCCTGTGCCATTCTTCAGGAGGAGGAGGGTGAGGAGGGTATCTCGGCATTTTTATTTCCCTAGTTAAGCCTCCGGTCCAGCTTATGGTCTGACCATTTGGCCTTCCTCATATCCATCTGCAAGTGGGAGCCCGGCGCTGTTCTGGTCCCTAGCCTCATACTGAAGCCCTAGTATCAGGCTGGAGCCTTGGGGGTACCCTGACTGCACCCACAGTCAGCCATGTCTGCCTCTTACCCCTCCCGATAAGGTGCTAGAGGCCAGCCAGGCTCTGTGGCTTTGATCTAGCTATAAATGTCTGGGGGTGTTGGCCCCACATTCTCAAGACATGAAGTCACTGAAACGAGGGGGTGAGGGCCTGGGTGGTGAACCCACAGTAGAAGAATCTGGGCTGAGTGCCCCAGAGATGGAATCAGGATCCAGAAAAGAGAAAGGGCTCCATCAAGGCCACAGGGCCCAAGCTCAGGCAGGCTGGCTGGCTTCCTCCCACAGCCCAGCCTTTCTATCACCAGCCCTGGCTGCCCTGCCCTGCCCTGGGCACCAGTTGCCAACCAAGGCAGAGACACAAAGCCACCGGTTCCTCCTCTCTGCCCAGGTAGAAGATGGAGAAACCGAGAAGGGTTCTGGCGGCTTCTGAACCATTAAGATGATGGAGATCAGCTGAGCGCCGTTGGCCACACCTGTAATCCCAGCTACTCCCGGAGATCTGAGATCGGAGGCTCTGGATTCAAAGCCAGCCCAGGCAGGAAAGTCCAGGAGACTCTGATCCCCGAGGAACCACCAGAAAACTGGAAGTGGAGCGGTGGCTCAAGTGGTAGAGCGTTAGCTATGAGCACAAAAACTCAGAGACAGTGTCCAGGCCCTGGGTGATGCAAAGATCCTGAGGGCATCCAGGCCCCTGCTCACGAGGTAAGGATGGGGTCCCCAGACACCTGTGGCACTGGCCAGGGGAAGGCCATCGGTCGCGTGGGCCCCCCAGGGCCGGCGCTACCCTCTCTTTGGGCCCCAGCTGGCCCTGGAATGCTTGTGGCCGGGGCTTCCTTCCTCTGTCTGTTTTTCTTGTTCAAGCTGATTAAACCTGAGGAATGTTTGCGTCCAGGGACGGAGGCCTGAGCACCCATCTGCAGTTATCAAAATCTTCAAAGGGCAAAGTGCTAGGTTTAGAAGGCGCTAAGAGCAGACAGGAAGGAATGAGGGTGGAGGACAGCACCCCAAGCTTCAGGAACGTTCCCTTGGACATCAGCCATTCCAGGAACCCCTAGAGCTTCAATCTTCCCCCCTCCCTCCTCCCCTCCAGCCCCCAACTGTTTAAACCAAACTCAGCCTGGCACCAGTGGCTCACGCCTGACCTTTGGGCTACTCAGGAGGCCAAGATCTGAGGATTGAAGTTTGAAGCCAGCCTGAGCAGGAGCATTCTTGAGACTCTTATCAACAGCGAACCAGCAAAAAAAAAAACCCAGAAAACAGAGGTATGGTTCAAGTGGTAGGGCGCCAACCTTGAGTGAAAAGAATCTCGGGGACAACGCCCAGGCCCCAAGTTCAAGCCTCAGTAGAGGCACAAGAAAAGACAAGACAGGGAATTGTCCTGGCCCAAAGCCCATGGCGACGGCCCGGCTGTCGGAGGCCTGGAATTTCCCCGCCAGCGTGTTTGCCCCACGTGGCCCCAAAATGGTGCCGGACCAGACTTGGGCCATGGAGCCGGGCTCTCCATCACCCTCTTGCCCACAAACACTGGGGCCAGGCTCCCAGGAGATCCTACACCACCCTGTCCTGTGAGCTCCCATTCCTCCCTGGTAATCCGGAGGATCGCTGTTCCAGGCAGCAGCTCTGCTTTAGGGTAGTTCACTCAGCCTTTTCCCACCTGCCCACCCTCCCCAATGCCTGTCCAGGCTGTCCCCTCCCTGTCCTTTACCGGTCACACGGGGAGGGGGGGACACTCTGGACGCTCCCCCACAGCTGGGCTTCCTCCTCTGAGTGGAGCCAAGGGTCTGGGTTGGGATCTCAGGCCCAGAGATGGCCCAGCACCTGCTTTAAAAGGCGCTCCGGCTCCATTCCCCCTGTTTGGCCCCGCCTCTCCCCCCTCCCCCGCCTGGGGTCCCAGCATCTGTGAGCAGCCCACCCCCTCCCCTTCCTCTGCAGCTCCAGCCCACAGGGCTGGGCCCCTCACAGCCACAGGGGCGGCCATTTGCCCGAGAAACTTGATCGCTTTGGTCCTCTGAATCACCTCGGTGGGGAGAAGCCGGTGAGCTTTGATGGCTGGCTTTCCCAGCTGTGGTGGGGATACTGTGGCCCAGGGAACCCCCCCCCCCCATTTGTCACCATCCATCACTCCCAGGGGGGCCTGGGGCCTGATGAATGGTCCCCAATCCAGCCACCAGCTCAGCTTTTAATAACCCATCGGGTACCCGGTGGGCACCAGCTGAAGAGTCCTGACGGGGGGGGGGGGGGGGGGGGGGGGGCGGGGGGGGGAGGGAGGGAAGGGGGGCGGGGGCTTCCCTGAGGCCCAGATTCCAGGGCCTCTCCAGGACTGCCTCTTCCTCTCCTCGCAGTAAAGACAGAGGTACTGGGCCTGCCGGCCTTCCTACCTTCCTGCCTTCCTGCCTTCCCTCCTCCTCCTCCTCCTCCTCCTCCTCCCCCTCCTCCTCCTCCTCCTCCTCCCCCCCCCCTCCTCCTCCTCCTCCTCCTCCCCCTCCTCCCCCTCCTCCTCCTCCTCCCCCTCCTCCTCCTCCTCCTCCTCCTCCTCCTCCTCTTCTTCCTCCTCCTCCTCCTCTTTTTCCTCCTCCTCCTCTTCCTCCTCTTTCTTCTTCCTCTTTCCCTCTCAGTCTGCCTCTCTCTCTTTCTTTTCTTGAGCTTGAACTCCTGAGCCGCTGTCCCTGAGCTTGGTCAAGGCTAACACTCTACCGCGTGAGCCACAGTACCATTTCTGGCTTTATTTTTGGTGGGTGTTTAATTGGAGATAAGAGTCTCACGGACTTTCCTGCGCAGGCTGGAGATTCTGGTGAGGCTCTCTTATCTCTAATTAAGCATCCCCCCCTCCAAAAAAAAAAGCCAGAAGCAAAGCTGTGGCTCAAGCGGTAGAGTGCTAGCCTTGAGCAAACAAGCTACATAAGAGACAGCATCCAGGGCCTAAGTTCAAGCCCCAAGATTGGCACCAAAACAACAATTTACATTGCCTGTGAGTAGCCCAAGACTAAATATTAAATATTAACCAGCAAGATGGAAAAAAGAACATGTATTCTAAAAAAAATTAATAAATAACAGGCATTGATGCCAGTGGCTTACACTTGTAAAATCCTAACCATTCAAGAAACTAAGATTTTGGAGAATGGAGATTCAACGCTAGCTAGGAACATCTATGAGGCTCCACCTCTAATTTATCAGCAAAAAGGAAGGCTGGAGGTATGGCTCAAGTAGTAGAGTATCATCCCTGCGAGCAGCAGGCCCTTGAGTCCAAGACCTGGTGCTGTCCTCTCTCCCATCCAAAACAAAAAAGAAATGTGAGTGTTTTCTTTGCCCTTTCCAGCTGACTGAGATGCAGTCCTAACGGCTGGTCTTGAGAAGCCATTTTGGGCTCTGAGGCAGAGCTCACGAATTACATACCAAAAAAAGAGCAGTAAGTTGGCCGCAGAGACAGAGCCTGAGCTAAGAGCAGATCGGAAGCCGGGAGGAGGCCTCAGAGAGGCCTGCTGCACCAGCCCTCCATCACAGTCAGACTGGACGGGGTCACTCAGTGACCCAGTCCTGCACCCCATCCTCCTACACACACAGCGCTGGACTCTGCTCCCACCTTTTCCCCCACAACTCCCCCTTCCTTGAGTCCTAACGCTGCTCTATGCTGGGGCTGGGGAGCCCCTAAAACTAAGATGGCAGCCCACGACCACAACTTTCAGCCCAGCACCTAATGAGAACGGGGTATAGCCTGCCTCCTCAGATTCTGTCTGTCTGTCCGTCTCATGGGCCTCTGTGTGCCTGTCTGTCTATCAATCTTTCTTTCCATTCTGGTGCCTGTTACAGTTTTTGTTTACTTGTTTTGGGTTTATTTTTGGTCAGTCCTGGGGCTTGAACTCAGGGCCTGGGCGCTGTCCCTGAGCTTCTTTTGCTCAAGGCTAGCACTCTACCACTTGAGCCACAGTGTCACTTCCAGTTTTCTGGTGGTTCATTGGAGATAAGAGTCTCACGGAGCCGGGCACCGGTGGCTCATGCCCATGATCCTAGCTACTCAGAAGGCTGAGATCTGAGGATCACAGTTCAAAGCCAGCCTGGACAAGAAAGTCCTTGAGAATCCTATTCCCCCAAACTACCAAAAAAAAAAAAAAATGAAAGTGGAGCTGTGGCTCAAGTGGTAGAGCCTCAACCTTAAGCACAAAAGCTCATGAACAGCACCCAGGCCCTGAGTCAAGCCTTAGTATAGACACACACACACACACACACACACACACACACACACACACACACACAACTGAGCACACAGTAGATGCTCAATAAATGTTTATTACAGGAATAAATGCTAAAAGGCTGTGGGAGGGATTCCTGGCCATCTGCCTTTGTATCCTAAGCCAGGCCCAACTTCCTTGTTACTTGGTTTCTCAAACAAACGGAGAATAGTGGGGGGTGTGGCCTCAAGCACCCAGACTTTAGTCCCAAACTGGGACTGTGGGCCCGAGAGGCAGTGCTCAGCCTGGGAAATCCCTCCTTGACCTTGGCCATGACCTTCACCGGGCCGGAGCCCTGGCTCCCAGCATTGCTGGCAGCTCAGAGGCTAAAAGTGGAGGAGAAGACCTTGGACCTGGAGTTCGAGGTCCTGAGCGTGGGCTTTAACGAGGAGGGCAGGTACGCCCTGCGGCTCTCCGCGGAGAACCCCCTGCAAGCCTGCTCTGGGGCCGGGGTGCGGCTGCAGGTGAATGACGGGGACCCTCTCCCAGCATGCTCAGTGGTCACCGAGGTCCTGGAGCAGCAGGATCCTGGACAGAGCCTGGCCCTCAGCAGGAACAAGTTTACCTTCACTTTGCCCAAAGGTATACCAAACAAGGGGACGTCGGGGGAGCCTGGGGACCTCAGCCCTGACCCCTGATGGGCCTTGGGGTGTGATCTGGGAGAATCAGAGTGGCTCTGCTTGTGTGAGGCTCACAAACCAGGGTCCTGAGGCCCTAGTCCCGTTCCCTCCAGGGTGAACACAGGATGCTGTCACCCAGAACCGAGTGAGGAGGAAAGGGAAGGCTGGTGTGGCCCAATGTCGGTGCTCACGCCTGTAATCCCAGCCACACCGGGAGACTGAGATTGGTGGGAAGCCAACCCAGGAAAATCCCTTGAGCCTCTTATCCCCAATAAACCACCAAAAAATATCCCCCAAAAAGCCAGGCATAGGGCTGTGAGTAGAAAAAGCTAACAGACAGCACCCAGGCCCTGAGTTCAAGCCCCAGGACCAGCACAACCATAGGCACACAAAGCTAGCCGGTCCTGACCGCCCCAAGCCCCCCCCCCCCCCGAGGTGGAAGGAACCCTAAGTGTTGTACTAACACCCCCATCTCCCCACGCAGGGTTCTGCAAAAATGACGGCCAGCATGACGCACGGCTGCGTGTCGAGGCTCTGCGGCTGGACGGAGGGGGCTTGGGAGGGGCACCCCGGAGAGTAGGGGAGGCCATCTTCCCCATCTACCCGCGCCCGGACCAGCCCCGCATGAACCCGGCCGCCCAGCAGCACGAGGACCTCTACCGTTACCACGGCAACCTGCCCCTGCTCCGGTCCAGCCAGGACCCCAGCGCACGGCACTGCGGGGCGCTGTCCTACAGCGTGGCCTTCCACGAGCACCGGGCGCAGAGGGCACCTCAGGCCCAGCCCCAGAGCCCCAGGACTCAGGTGGGGCCCAGCTTGCCCCTTGCATCTCTACTTCGTTAAGTAGTACAGCCATGGCATGCATGGAAGGGGTGAGGGGGAGCCTGGGAGCCCCAGTGTAGAGGGCAGAAGAGCCCAGCGCCGGTGCTCACGCCTGTCATCCCAGCTACTCAGGAGCCTGAGATCTGAGGATCTCGGTTCTAAGCCAGCCAGGGGCAAGTAAAAGTCTCTGAGACTCTGATCTCCACCATTCTCTCCAGGTTTCAAGGAAAGCTCCAACAGATCATGAGGTAGAGGCTTCCTGCCGGGGCCCAGCTCAGGCCCCGCCCAGCTCCCATGATGACCAGCAGAGGCTCAGCCCTGAGCCAGGATCCTGGCCACCCCAGGCCCAGGTAAGGAAGGCACCCAGTCCTGACCCACACTGAAAGATGGTTTCCCTCCTCTGGGCATCCAGTCCATCTCCCAGCCATGGGCAGCAACCCATTTCATTGATTGGAGAAACTGAGGCTCAGGGATGTTAAGTTCTATTTAACATGAACATTTCCTGGGGGCCTCCCTTGACCCAGGTCAGTCCTTAAATGCAAGACACAAGCCTGGTTCCAAGATGGCAGGAAGCGGGGTGTGTGTGTGTGGTGTGTGTGTATGTCCCTGTACTGGGATTTGAACTCAGGGCCTGTGCGCTGTCCTAGAGCTTTTCCATTCAAAGTTGGCGCTCTACCCCTTGAGCCACACCTCCTCTACTTCTGGCTTTTTGCTGGCTCATTGGAGGATAAGAATCTCACAGACTTTCCTGCCCTGGAACTGACTTGAACTGGAATCCATGGAACAGCTCAGCCTCCTGAGCAGCTGGCTGGCTCCAATGCACATTTCCAACACCCCTCCCTGTCCTGAGCTAGTGAATGAGATCACTGGTCCCTGGGCTCCTAGGTGACAGTCGGTCTCTGGGGACTGCTGGCTGCGGAGCGCCACCCACCCCCTCCTATGACAGCAGAGGAACAGAGCTGAGGGACAGCTCTCCCCGCGCTCCCGTTCTTCAACATGCGTTGAGCTGCAATCTGGAATGTCTGGGAGAGAAAGAGGACAGAAAGAGAGAGGGAGAAAGAGGGGGTGGGAAGGACGGGAGGGGGGAAGGGGCGGGCATCGTGGCCACAGCGACCCGGGCCGCTCTAATTTCTGTTATTTAGAGTCATCATCTCTGCGCCGCTCCCTCTCTGAAAGTGTCCACCGCGACAAGAAAATGGTTTTCGAGGGAGAGGAAAATCGGTTCCCTCCAGGGGGGTGTGCGTGTGTGCATGTGTGTGTGTGCGTGTGTGTGCATGTGTGTGTGTGCACGTGTGTGTGTGCCTGTAATCACAGCCCCATCAGAAATGCAGGAGCAAAGAATGAATCAGAGAGGCTCAGTCCCTGCCGACCCCACTGCCCCATGGCCCCGTGGCCTGTGTTTGGGCTCCCTAGAGAATACAGGGACCCCCTCCCCCCTGAAAGTGCCCTCCCCCTGTGGACCCATCCCCCCCTCCCCTCTTTGGGTCTTGGTTGCAGATGAGGAGAAAGATCTGGAAGGCGTGGGGGAGGGGAGGTGAAGACCAGAAACTCCATCTGCCTGGGCTGAACTCCAACTTCAGCTTTATCGGGTTCACGTCCAGGAATGGATGTCTGGGTTCCCCCCGGATGCAGACAGCGCAGGATCCCCTCCTCCAGGAAGCCTTCCAAGCACGGGGTTCACCCTTTCCAAGAGATGGCTCAGGCCTGGAACCCCAGGTGCGGAACCAATCCCGTCTCTGTGATGGACCACTCCCGCTGCAGGCAGACGGCTTGTTCTCTGCCATCTGCGTACTGTGCGGTCTTATTTATAACCAGAACCGATGCAGGGCCAGATGGGGGTTTCCGGGGCGGATGTCGGGGGGGGGGGGCAGGAGACGGGAGACGCAATGGCCAGGATGCTCAAGATTGAGCAGGGAGCCGGCCGTCAGGGCTCACGCCTGCCGTCCTGGCTACTCAGGAGGCTGAGATCTGAGGATCGCTGGTTCAAAGCCAGCCCGGGCGGGCAGGTCCGTGAGACTCCAGTTCATCACCAAAAGGCTGGAAGTGGAGCTGCGGCTCAAAGCGGTAGAGCGCTATAGATGTGAGTGAAAAAGCTCAGGGATAAGCGCCCAGGCCGAGTTCAAGTCCCAGTACGGGTATGCACACACACACACACACACACACACACACACACACAGAACAGGGAGAACCGAAGGTGTGGCTCAAGTGGTACAGCACCTGCCTAGCAAGTGTGAAACCTTAAGTTCAAACCCCAGTACTGCCAGAAAGAGAAAAGTAAAGAAAGAACCTCTGGGAGCCAAGGCTCAGTGTGAACTTGAACTTCCGGTCTGGATGGCTGAGCCAAGGCTCAGTGTGAACTTGAACTTCCGGTCTGGATGGCTGAGCCCTAATGCGACTCTGAGTGTGTTAACACCAGTGCTCCAGCTCTTGAGTCCTTCTTATGGGGGGCTGGGGGGGAGGGGTAAAGACCCCCAAACACTTCCAGCATGGATGGTCTTGGCCACCCACATCTGTCAGCCCAAGTCCCTGCCCCACAAAGGGAGACAATGGGCCCAACAGCTCAGACAGCTGCAGGACCCTTAACCTTGGGGCTCCAGGTCCCCCAGACCCTGAGCCCCTTGTGGAGAGAATTGTGGAGGCTCCCCGGCCCTCAGCCCACACCTGCTGATGTCCACCATCCCCCCCTCTGGCAGCTCTGTTTTTCCTTGCGCAAGGTGAAGGCAGTGATCCGACCAGCAGGGGTGGTCCCTGAGGTTTGGGTGATGCCTGAGCCGCTATTAGGACAAATGGGATGGGGGTTGGGACGCCTGGAGCCGCTGCAGCCTCGAGAGCCATGAGGGATCCACCATGAGAGGGTCGCTGGTTTCCGGAAGCCTGGGCTTGGCAATGCCATGCTGGGAGGTCACTGTAGGGGTACAGTCACCACAAGAGGGCTCCCCACCTGGTTTTTCCCCCCACCCACCCACAGCTTTTGGGGGGTACAGGCAGGAGGAGGAGGAGAGGGCAGGATTCTCCCCAGTTACCTCTTTCCAGACAATCACAGTTTTGTTTCATGAAAATGGTTTCTGTGTCCCAGGAGCCTTTTAAATGGCGCTTTCAATTTTTTTTTTTTTTAATTCTTTCCATTTAAAACATACTCTTTTTATTTTTTGGCCCCTGGGGGTGGGGGAAGAAAGGCAGAGAGAGAGAGAGAGAGAGAGAGAGAGGCATTAAAGCAATCACCAAATCCTTGGCAGCTGGCAGGCAGCCCGTGGCTTGTGGCTTTGGCAGCCACAGGCTGCAGAAGGAGAGATGGGTGGAGAGCCGCCATGGTGCGCTTCTCGCCGGCCTCATGTCCCCTCTGCCCGCTGTCCCTTGGGCTTCTGTGGCTGGATTCCTGTCCCTTTGTTCCTCTCTACCCCCCCCCCCCACCTCCTGTCTGTCCCGGGGTCCTGGATCCCAGCTGGGGCTCCCCCCCAGCTTGGTGGCCAGCCGCTCCCCTCTTTCTCATGGCGGGCACGTTCATGGCCCGCCACGGCCCAGGGTGGTGGAGGCTAAGGGAGGGGGTGGGGGGAGGCTGGGAGCGGGCCTCAGAGGCCTGGGGAGGAAGATGAGGGCACGTTTCCCTCCCCCCTCCATGTGACACCCCCGTCCTAGGCACTGGCTCCCCCCCCCACACACCCAGAGCTGCCCACCTCCACCTCCCCCACCCACTCAAATACCAGAGGACCCCCTCCCCAAGGCAGGGCTTTCTCCTGCTTAAATGGGGAGCTTTTATGGGCTTTAGAAAAAACCACTCCAATTGTTCCCTCAATTACCCCGAGCAGATTGAATATATTAATCTCTCTCTTAACTGGAGGTCTGTATCCCCTCCCCCCCCCCGCCCCCTCCCCCAGCCGCCAGCCCCCTCCACAGGCACGTGCCCACAGTGCCCAGCCCCCAACCTTCACAGCCAGGAGCCCGGGCTGGCCTGCTTGGTCCACACGGGGAGTGGCTTCTGTTACACACACACACACACACAATTACACGCATGCACATGCACCTATGCGCACACACGGCCGCAGATCGCTTCCCTACGTTTCTCTATCCATTTCCATTGATTTCCCCCCCCCCCCCCCCCCGCCACTATTTCAAAGAGCTTTTTTTTCTTTCCCTGAGTAACAGCAATCACACAGGGCCCCCCTCCCCCGGAGAAGGGGGGGCGGGACACGGAGAGGGGGTGCTGCTCTGGTGACAAGTACCTCTAGTTTAAACATACTCTGCCCCAGGCAGCTGCGCCCCCACTAACCGCCCGATGGGTCTCTCTTTGTAGCTCCATTTTCTTTCATTTCTAGGGAACAAAGGCGCTGTCAGGGTATTCTCAGAAGCTGTCACACACACACACACCCCAAGCTCTCCAAGAGAGGGGTGGGGCCTCAGCACTCACCCGCCCCAGGGAAGGTGGAGTGGAGGAGGGTACTTCCTGCCCCCTGCCCACCCCCCCCCGGGACAGCCCAGGGGTCCTGGATGTGTTCCTACCTTGGACTCTCACAGGCCGGTGTCGGGAAGGGACTTGGGGGGTGCAAATGGCTTAGGGGAGATCTCCACAAATGCACAGGGATCCCAGAGCAGATGAGGCTCTTTCTTTGTGCCAGCCCTGGGGCTTGAACTCAGGGCCTGGGCATTGTCCCTGATGGTTTTATTTGCTCGAGGCTGGTGCTCTACCACTTGAGCCACATCACCACATTTAGCTTTTTTTTTTTTTTTTGCTGGTTCATTGGAGATAAGAGTCTCATGGACTTTTCCAACCTGGGCTGGCCTCAAGCTACGATCCTCAGATCGCAGCCTCCTGGGTTGCTGGGATGACAGGCGTGAGCCCCCCGTGCCGGGCTGGCTCCCTCCTCCTCCTCTTGCTGGGAAGGTTACATTAAGACATCCACCCCGTGCTTGATGAACGCAGGCGCTGTTCTATTCAAGGGTTGTCTCAGAAAGTCTGGGTGGCACAAAAGGCCTGGGGCTCAGGCCCTGCACCTTAGAAAATCGCGTTGCCGAGTGTCCCCTGGGAACACTGAGAGTCCACTGTCTCGGGGCTACACGCTGGGCCCGTGGGGTGTGAGGATGAGAAGTGGCTCCATTAGCAGATTGTCACAAGGGAACACAGCAGATGGCCAGCTCCCCCCTCCCCCACCCCAGCCGGCCCGACTGACTCATCCCGCCTCTGTGTGCTCGGCACAGGAGAGACAGAGAGGACCAGCAGTGTGCCCCCCCCATCCCCACCTCCAGCCAGGAGTGGAAATGTGAACGCTCCACTCAGGGACAGCGCAGGAGTGACGTATGAGCTGAGACCGTGTGAAACCATCTGTAATACCAGGCAGGGCGACAATCTCAGTCACCTGCCCCAGTTCTGTCCCCTGAGTCAGCCAGTCACCCCCAGCCTGGGCTGGATCTACGGGGTCCCGGGGTTTGAGCCAAACCTGCTGGGAACAGCTTCCTGCTCAGGAAAGATGGAAGAGGCCACGTTCCCATCTGCACCCCGCAGCAAGCTCTGGGCTACCATGGTCCAACCCCCCCTTGGCAAAGCGTGACCTTTATCCATTCATCCATCCACCCATCTATCTACCATCCACCCATCCATCCACTCACCCATTCATCCATCCACACATCCATCCATCCACACTCCATCCATCCATCCATTCATTCATCCACCCATCCATCTACCCATCCATCCATCCATACATTCATCCATCTATTCATCCATCCATCCATCCATCTAACCATCCATCCATTTGTCCATCCATCCATTTACTTGTCCATTCTTGCACCCATCCATCCATCCATGTATCTACCCATTCATCCATGCATGCATCCATTTATCTATGCATCCATCTGTCCATCCATGCATCCATCCATCTATCCATCTTCTCACCCATTCATCTATCCACACATCCATCCATCCATACTCCATCCATCCATTCATTCATCTACCTATCCATCCATCCATTCTCTGTCCACCCATCCATCCATCCACCCATCCATCCATCTACCCATCCATCCATCCAACCATACATCCATCCATCCATCCATCCCTACATACATACATTCATCCATCTACCCATCCATCCATCCACCCATCCATCCATCCATCTATCCATTTGTCCATCTATCCATTTACTTATCTATTCCTGTACCCATCCATCTGTACATGTATCTACCCATCCATCCATCCATCCATCCATCCATACATTCATCCATCTACCCATTCATCCATCCACCCCATCCATTTGTCCATCTATTTACTTATCTATTCCTGCACCCATCCATCCGTACATGTATCTACCCATCCATCCATGCATGCATCCATTGATCTATGCATCCATCTGCCATCCATGCATCCATGCATGCATGCATCCATTGATCTATGCATCCATCTGCCATCCATGCATCCATGCATGCATCCATTGATCTATGCATCCATCTGCCATCCATGCATCCATGCATGCATCCATCCACTCACTCTCTCATCCATCCATCCATTCATTCTCCCAAACAGTAAATTAGGTGGCTGTACGCCTTGGCCTTGGGGTGCTGTCCAGGTGGACAACGGAAGAAAATAGGAGAAGCTGAGTGCAATGACTTTCTAAGCTGACTGTAGGCAAGCTGGGTAGGAAAACATCTCTGACTAGGAATCAGGAAACGGTAGCTTAGAACCTGGTTCCCCAGTTGCATGGGGGTGGGTGTGTACCTTACCTCCCTGGGCCTCACGCCTCTGACAGGACAGGCTCGGGTGAGGAAGAGGGCGGGAGGTTCCAGAGTACATGAAATCCCACTTCACCAATGTCAGAGAGGCAGACAAGCCTGCCTCAGGTTAGGTGGGATCAGCAGGATGACAGGGAATGGACAGAGGAGCGAGGTCAAGAGATGGGATGTAGGTGTGTTAGGGACTAGCAGGACGGGAGAACATTGTAGGGAATGGATGGTAGGTGCTATTTTTGGTACTTGGGCGTTCTGAGCTCTCTGCTGCCCCCTATAGGGGGTGAAGTTGCCCTGAGCCGAAGCTGGTGCTCTACCACTTGAGCCACACCTCCATTTGGGTCTTTCTGCTGGTTCATTGGAGGTAAGAGTCTCACAGACTTTCCTTCCCCGGGGCTGGCTTTGAATCGCGATCCTCAGATCGATCGCAGCGTCCTGAGTAGCTGGGATTACAGGCGTGACCACTGAGGCCTGGCAAGTGTGGCTTCTTTGGTAAACTTGAGTGGACATGGTAAACTGAGGCCCGGTAAGGACCCAGCCGTGCAGACCCCCACCCCCACCCCACAGCAGGAAATTTGCCCCCCAAGTCTCTCTCTCTCTCTTTTTTTGAGTGTATGAATCAGAGCTGAGGCTTTCCCTCAGTGGCAGTGGATTTTTATCGGGGTTTGGATATTATTTTAATCTCCCTCTAAAAGCATAATTGCTTTTTGTCGGCTGGTGTTCCTGCGAGATTGCTTTCCAGGCTCTCTCCTCTCTTCCAGGAGACAGGCGGGGCGACTGGGCTGCATTAATACTCTGCAAATGCGATTTCATGGCCTCAAACAAGATTAGGGCCAGAGGCTCTGCTCTCTGCTCGGGTGGCGGGGTCCAGGCTGGCCGGCGCTGGGACAGAGGCCCCCAGACCCAGGGGGGCTGAGTAAGCAGGTTCCTGTAACCAGAGCCCCTTAGATCAGCTCCTTCATCCTGGCCACAGAGCCCATCCAGAGGCTCTGGCTAGAGGGAAGTTTCAGGGCAACCCACCTCGTACCTTAGCACCCCCCCCTGC